TATTCCCTTCCGAAACCAGCCTGAACCTGTATAATGGCAATTAGCTCTTTTGGCCACATGGTCAAATGAGGAACTTATTTATTATTTTCCTCAGACCCCAGTTTATTATTCACTTCAGACCCCAAATCCTTTTTAGACTCATTGCTTCCTTACTTCCTACAAGTATGGCCTACATTTTTTCCCTAAATGTATGTGTTATATTTGGCTTTTTAAAACCTTTTTCATTTGCTTGTACCCCATTTACTAAAGGATCTAAACTGTTCTGTATCAGTGATCTGTCCTCTTCATTATTTATCACCTTCTCAATTTATGTTTTCATTCATGTCATTGATAAAAATGTAAGTATGTAGGAACTAAAACCTCTGAATCTTTGAGGGTATACCCATAACTTCTTTTGCACTTTTAGGAAGAAAGGATTAAATAAATGTGCCTTTAAACCTGTTTGTAAGGACTGCATTAAATAGAGGTTAGAGATAGTCCAGCTACAACTAGGAATAATTAATTTCACTATACTCCCCATGTTTGGTATTACTCAATTTGTGAAATCCCTTCAAATACTATTAAGAACTTCTCCCATTTATATTGCTGTGTGAGGTATAAAATTTCACAGAAAGAATGATTATACCAAACATTCAGATTAAGGGAAGATGTAGACTCATTTGAATGAAATACACAGCCAACAAATTTGCCTGTGCATTCTTTCACTATTAGCTATATATTTTATCAGAATTTTTTAAAGGTTTCACAATTTCAGTATACAAAGTTAATTGCTTCTGTATTACAATGTTATCATTTTTCTCAAACATTTTTAAGGGAAATTTCTGAACAAATGAGCTGTTAGAACTGAATTTGTATAATTGAGGTTACTTCCTATAACATGAATTACTTCTTGTATCACTTCTTTTACCTTTGAATTAGTAATTATAGCCTCTGACTCAGAATAATTTATCAGTCCTTTCCTTATGCAGCAGTGTTTTGGAAAGACTTAAAAACCAATATGCTTAGATTTCTTCAAGACATTCTTCAATGCCATGATACTTTGATTAAAATATAGAATATAAAATTAACATGGTATATATTAAATGGATTTAAAAATAAGTGATAAGGTCTTAAAATATAACTAATGGGTATCATCCCAGAGTGGGTATGTTTATGAATAAAAATGACAATGCTGTAATGATAAACATATATGAACTCTTAGGAAGCGTAAAGTGGGTCTTGCATTAAATAATTCAATTCAAAAAGATCCTTCATGTAATTAACCTTGGCTACCTTATATTGCAGTATTAAAGGATCATCCTACAAAGGGTCTTTGAGAGATTCTTCTGGCATGGCCAATGTGTTCTTATTGTTTATCCAACGTCTTAGAAAGTGTTCTCGAGTCTTAATGGTATACACCTTTTAAAAATATTACATTATTCTACCAGAGCTTTTAGCTAGTTTATCTTGTAGATTCTGAAATAGGCCAGGCATACAGTAGAGCTTGTGTGCTAGTAACAGTAACCTACCACCCAGGAGCACTAGTCATGGAACAGGCTCCCCATTGTGCTAGGAAATGTAGAAACAGAACAAAAAAATGCCCCAAAAAGCTTAATAAGAAAAGAGTTAATGGATGAATAAAGACACAGAGATGGGAAAGTACAAGAAACAATGAGATGGCTGCAAAGGTCTACTATTAAAATGCCATCTTTTAGACAAAGATCTTGTTATAATCCAAGCAAAAGAAAACAGACCATTTTTTAAACATGCAGCTAAAATGATTACAGAAGATGACTAAGAATAGAAATAAGAAATATCCATTCCATCACTAGTTTCAGATCTTTGTGGTTAATTCCAGAGACATGAGAACTTTCATTTGATTTTCAGATGTCATTATTATAATCTCAAACATTTCTTCCCATTCCTTTACTGGCCAGTCACTCTCTAGAGAGTTTATTCATCACAGTATTGCCTTACTTACATTTTAAAAAAAGAAATCTTTAATGACCAGACCTAGAATAGGGAAAAATTCTATTTATCTCCTAAAAACTTATCTTGATTCATATGAATACCTTTTGATTTCCTTCTAGAAATGAGGGTACTATTCCTGCAACTTGGGGAATTAAAAAATATTTTTACCCATGGACATATCCTCTCTGTTCCATAGGTAACCAATGCATCTCTGTATTACTTTGCTTATTTTTGTACTGTGGCTGCACACTGTATGTCATGTAAATAAAAATTATGGAAAATAAATGAAACTACTGTATTTATAAATGTGTTGTACTAGAGCTCCACCTACAGGATGAAAACAAGCATACGTAAAGAAATGCTCATAATGATTCACCATTCTAAAGAATCATTAGACTAGAAGGGATCTCTCTGCGCAAAACCTCCAGCTTATACTCTCTAGCCTTTAACAAGCAGATGCCTGAGGCTTTCAAGGCCAACTTGATAGAATTCTAAAATTGAATTTGATCCCTGATGCACAAATCTGAAATTTTCTTTTATCTGAAAGTATGCATTTGATGTAATCAGCTGTTCTGAACTTTAGCGCTTAAGTCACAGAGGGTAGCTGTGTTAGTTAGTATTTGCAAAAACAAGCAGTCCTGTTAGCCTTAAAGGTGCCACAGTGTTCTTTGTTGTTTTTGGAGTTTAAATATGACAGTGTATTAAAGACTTTGGCATTACCTTTTCACACACCAAAAGATATAAACATCTTGACAGATTACTTGTCCCTCAGGCTTCAACACTAATGTTGAATGGGATGGTCTTCCAAGTCAGAAGATTCATATACCAAAGGTCTGACACATGCTGAAGCAACCAAAATTAGCTTCACCATTCTGAGTATAATTGTATTTACAGGAAGTGGTGCCTTGGATGCTTGTGCCATGAATTTCAGGAAATGTCTTTTGTTTTAACGTTATTTTCTCTTTTCAACTTTCTTACTTGGATTTTGTATTAAAGAAACAAGACGACAGACCCAACTTATTGTAGATTTGCTGAAAAAGTTACCCTACTTAAAAGCCATTAATTTACTTTAAAAGCTGACTCTGCTTTTGTGTTTAAATTTCTGATGAGATGAATAACTGTGATAGGGACCAGATGTTCCTTAACACACTAAAATGCTACTAAAACCTCCCACTGAAGTCATGCACTACTGATTCTACTCTCTGTTTGTTGACAGACAACTGCTGTAGCATTGTTTGATCTGAACAACTGAAGCTTGGACTAGCCTAGGTGGAGAAATCTTAGGAGACTATCATATCACTTATTTCCAGTACAGGAAGAATTTATTCTTAAGGCAGAATCATCAAATATGATAACGGGCTCGCCATATCATCACACTGGGACCTAAAGTTAATAAAAATGAATTTGGATCAAACAGTGGCATGGCTTTAATGTCTACATCAGAGAATGTCAAACTCCTATCAGTTGAAAAATAACAGATTCTAGAGTTTAATGCTACACATACCCATAGCAATTAAAACTAATAGAATCATGGGCAACATGTAAAACATCTCTCCAGGGCCAAACACAGGGCACTGATATTCTTCACAGTGTCCTCATATCTATTCCACAGACCATTTTTATTTGCCATCCCTATACCTGAAGACATACGATTTCAGAAAAATGAAGAAGCACTCCCTTTGATGTTCCCAGTTCTGGCTATTTAACATAAAACAGATAACAAGGCCGAAAGGCTTAATAAATGAATCAGCTAGATGTGTCAATTTGACAAATTTTCCTGAAAGAAAGAGAATTCACTACTTCTGCTTTAACAGCAACCTTCATCAAGTTCTGAGGGTAAAACCTCAGACATTGTTTATATATCCTATAAGCCCTGAATTTAAAAGAAAAAGAAGGCTTGCTTTTAGTGAATTAACAGAATTTACCTCAGTCTCACCGGGTAGTCTTTTGATGCAGGACAATTTTACAGAAAATGTGCAGTAAATTAACATAAAATTAATATGTAAAATAAATCTGTAGTTTAAATTATATCTTTATAGGTTTTATGGCTTTTTCCCAATTAATGGGAGTCTGACTTTTTCTTATGTGGAACTTAAAAGTTTGCTAGTGTTTGAGCCAACTATATTTAAATTACAGAGCCACAGTGGGGGTAGCTTCTGGACCCGGCACGAGCCAGGACTGAGCCGAGCTTGCTCAGTTCCGGGTCCAGCAGCCTCTGTCCATTGGGGGTCCCAGCAGGAAGCTAGGACCCCCCACAAACAGGGACTGCTGCGAGCAGCCTCGGTTTGCAGCGCACAGAACTCCCCACAGAAACTCCCCGCAGATAGGAGCTGGGACCCCGCTTGCCAGGAATAGGGCTACTTTGCCACAGTAGCTCCTGCTCACAGAGATTCCCAACTCCCCTTTGGGATTCCCCGCAGACAGGGGCTGCTGCCGGAGCTTCCGCTGGCCCCCCTCAACTGCTGCTTAAGATAGAGGCAGCAGCAGCATGGGAGGAGGGTCAAGCGGCACCGCAGAGATGGTGCTGTAGGGAACCAGCTATTAAGCTGGCTCCCCTCAGCACTGGCTCCTGCTTCCCCCCCTCACCTTGCTACCTCTGATATAGAGACAGCAAAGAGGGACCGGGGAATGCAAGTAGTCAACTTGACTACCAGATAAGCCTAGGCTTATTGGATAGTCGACTAATCGACTACTCTTTTACATCCCTATTATAGACATCAGCAAAATTACAAATCCCATGATTTTAACACAACCACCTAATTCCTTCACATGGGAACAACAAAAGCCTACACAAAATTAATACAAATTATATAATTACTTTTATACCATTTTTGCAGGAAATCAACATTTAACTCCACTGCAGGATGAAAAATTAAGAAATGTGCTTATCAGTGAAGTTAAAAAGCAATTAATTCTTAGAGAAGTAAATTTTTAACTTCAGTGATTCAAATATAATATGTAAGTTTCAGCATAGTAAAAGTAACGCTAAAGTTAAACATCTTATTATAAATAAATAAATTTAAATCAGGAAAAAACTGCATGTTGCTTACCTGCGACTGGTGATTTTCTTTTCAGTTTCTCTTTCCTCTTTAAATGGTAGCTTAACATTTTCATTTTTCTCTTTTCTCAACTTTTTAGCTACACGTTCTTTCACTTGGTATCTCTCATTACTATCCATTTCACCTTCTTCATTATCACTATCAACCTCCTCCTTTTCTTCCTACATTGATTTAAACAAACAGCTTGCATTTTAGCTCTATTTTGCAAGAGGATTTTTTTAAGCTGGAAACAATGTCTTAGCAAGAGAGCCTCTATAATGCTTACATTTACAATTTATATGCACATAGATGTAAATATTTTGTAACTACCTCAAAGTATGAACTATTTAAACACCAGAACATATCCTCTATAATATCTTTCAGAGTAATTTAGATGGTGAATCAACAACAACAATGAAGGACATACCTTTTTCAGAGCTAATCACAGATAATACAGGTATTTAAATATCTTAAAGCCCCACACTATTTAATATCTTAAATCATTTATTCTCAAACTGTGTTTTGTGGACCCCTAGGGACCTGTCCAAAGCCATCTGGTGACATGGTGCTGAGGTATCTTCACTAATTCCAGATTCTAAACTTTATTACAAGTCAAATTAAATATTTCTTTAATATTAATTTTCCATGTAAAAATTACAATTCAGAATTGTTATACCATCCTGAATGGAAAAGGAGGTGATCATACATAATAATCTATTAAGATATAGTCTATGCTATGAAAAAGTTTGACAGTCCATTATCAATAATCACAGATAAGGTTTAACAGTTCAAGTCAATACATTTTTTACATAAATTATGTGAGAATCATTTCCTTTCTAACAAAGTGCTAGAACCTCAGTTCAGGATTTTAAACCAGATTTCAGTGGGCAAGCATTCACATCATGATTGATATAGCAGAGAAGATGATAAACGAATTGTCATGGAAACTAATCATTCAACTAGCACCAGCAGCATCTACTGCTGATGGAATGGCATCAGCAGATTTACATAGTCTAACCTTGATAGAAAAGACCATGCAAGGGAAGTGGTCTACATCTTATTATATCCTTTTGATTTACAATTAATATCTATGATTGTAAACTTCCTATCATTCAAAACCTTCTATGTAATGCTATTTCTATAGTACCAATTATGTGTGGCTAAAATATTTTATAGACAAATAAACTGACATGACTCCTGCTGATTCTATCTATTGGTTAGGCAATAGATAATCTCTATTATCCGTTCCCACATTCAATACAAATGAGATAATAATCTTCATCAACAATCATGGGTTCAATGCCCGTTGGTGTCCGATGCCTCCCTCACTATTTACTTCCATCTTTCCCTGTCCAGTGCGGAGTGGCTTAGTTTCCGTAGACTAGCTCTGCACCAATCTACTATATCATCTACCCATTCTCTGTGAGGTCTGCCTCTTCTAATCGGACCATCCATTATGCTGAATACCAGGGTCTTAACTTTTTGCTTATCGTTCATTCTGCAGATATGCCCGAATAGCGATAACTTCTGTTGCATAACCTTCTGCAGTAGGTTCTCTTTGGGCTGTATCTTCCTATATAATTCCTTGTTGGTGACCTTCTGCATCCAGCCTATCCTCAGAATCTTTTTATAACAACTCCTCTTGAACGCCAATATCCTTCTCTTCGAATCTTTCATTATCATCCATGTCTCACATCCGTACAACATGCTGCTAAATACACACTTTACAAGATGCTCAGCTTCATTCCTAAGCTAATCGCTTTACTTTTCCAGATCTTATCCATCGCCTTCAAACTCACTCTTGCTTTCACTATTCTAGTCACTATTTCCTTCTTATAGTCTACATCATACATCATGTTGCTCCCCAAATACGTGAACTTCTCTATGTTCTCTAGTTCGATCCCATCTACACTGATCTTCCTTCCTATTTCCTTATCTCCAAATACCATTGTCTTTGTTTTATCAATATTCATAATCAGTCCATACCGCTTCCCTTCCTCAGTTAGCACCTGCACCATTCTCATTAGCTTCTCTTCATCTTCCTTGATGATAACTATATCGTCTGCAAACCTTAAGTTGTTAATTCTCATCCCGTGCACTGATATCCCTTCTATCTCTTCCTTGATCTTATGCATTGCTTGAGTGATGAAGATACTCAGCGATATGGGATCGCCTTGTCTCATATCTCTACTTGTTCTAAATCAACTTTCCAATTCTCCGCACGTTCTCACCACTGCCTCCGCATTATTATTGATATCCTTCAACAACCGTATCAGTCGGCTATCCACACCACATGACTCCAACACCACCCAAGTCACTTTGGGTCAAATGCCTTCTGAAAATCAATAAAGCAATTGAAGATGTTCTTGTTCTTTCGCTGAGCTTTCTCCGCTATTAATCTTAGTGCCAATATCTGCTGTATGTACTTCTATCTTACCACTTATTACATTTGAAATGCAATTTTTAAAAGTTATGTGAAAATAATCTAATTTCCCACAATTAAACATACCACCCTCTCAACCCATGCAATATATGCATATATAATTTTTTTTGGAAACAAGGTTATTTAGTTGAGGCTATTTTAGGTATTAGAGGAACTATTAAATCAGGGGTGGGCAAGAGGTGGCTAGTGGGCTGAATTCGACCCGCCACGCTGCTAGATCCGGCCTCTGGCTGCCTTGCTGTCACGCTTACTAGAGAGCAGTTGCAGCCACTTTAAACAACAGGCTGCTAATTGCTATGCAGTCTGGGCAGGGAAGAGAAAGCTTAACGCACTGTCCCCGTCCCCTAGCAAAATCCCCCAGTTCCCATTGATCAGTTTATGGCCAATAAGAGCAGAGAAATTTTAATGAATGCAGGGGCAGCGAATGAAACCTCCCCATGCTGGAGCAGAGCCACATGGAGCAGTTGCCCAGCACACAGGCAGCGAGTCTGCACTTCCCAGCCTGCCTCTGGCACCCCAAACCCTTTCTCCCCCCAACTACCTGGCGCAGGCCTCCATCCAAACCCTCTGTATTCCCTTATCCCAACTTCTCCATGTCACAACTTCCTCCCAGACCTTTCACCCCTTTTCACACCCCTCTCCCAGTCCAGAATCTTCTTCTGTACCCATAACCCCTCCCTGACCCTGCACCCCTTTTCCTTGCTCCACATCACCACCCAAACCCTCTACACTCCCTTTCCCCCTTGTACCAGGTCACAACCCCCTCCCAGACCCTGCACCCCCTCCTATAATCCTCCTCCAAGACAGAATCCTCTCCTGCACCCATAGATGCTCTTGGATCCTGCACTCAAAGCTTCTGTCCCACATCATAACCACCTCCTTTTCCCAAATACCCTCTCAGACCCCACACTTCCTCCTCCACCCCAGTTCTCTATTCCAAGCTCCCTTCTATACCCCACCCGCTGTCCCAGACCCTGCACTCCCTCCACAAAAGTGTGCCCTTTGACCACTTACCAAAATCTTGGAGTGGCCCCCTGTAGGAAGCTACCTTTGTCACGGGGGTACGCCCCCTTTATGGTTTCCTACGCCCGCTTTGGATCATTCCTCAATAATTCGCACTGCCCACAAGGGGAAGTGAGGGGGACTCGGGCCCGCCCTCTGTCCGAGTCCCAACCCAGGGCCCTAAGGTGGGGGTGATTCCTCCCCCACCTGGCTGACGGGGCTGTCTGCTGAAACTCATCAGCCCGCAAGCAGAACTTCCGCTGCCCGCTCTGGGTTGCTTCCTCACCCCCTCCAGGCTCTTACTCGGGAGCGATCCTTTCCACAGGTTGGCTACCCTGTCCGCCCATAGCCTCGCCGCCTCCTCCACGTGCCAGCCCCTCATTCGGGCCTGTCGTGCCTTTTTGACGGATCAACCCATCTTCCCTCAGCCAATCCCTTGTGTCCCCCACCTCCGCTCACTGTTCCGTACCTCCGGGTATGGCTTCCTGCATCCTGGCATTGGCCCCCACCTCTGCACATGCACTGAGGCTTAGCGCCGTCACTGGCTCTCCCTCCCCTGGCCTATGCCAGCCGCCGCATCTCCGGGCTCCACGCCAGCTGAGTCCCGGTTTTCTGGTGGGGCAAGCGACTCCCAAGCAGTGCAGGGTTCCGCTGCCCCGTCACACTCCTTCCCCCTTAAGATGAACCCCACTCCTTCCCCATGATCCATGTCCCTTCCCACTATACGTGATAGGAAGTCCGCATTCTGGTGTGCCATCCCTAGTCGGTGAACCACCTTAAAACAGTACAGCTGTAACGCCAGGTACCAGCACATGACTGGTGTTTGTACTTCGCATGCTCTGGATCCATCTGAGCGGGGCGTGGTCCATGACTAACAGGAAACAATCTCCTAAAAGATAATAACAGAGAATATCCACGGCCCATTTGACAGCTAGGGCCTCCTTTTCTATTGTCACATAATTTGTCTCTCGGGGGAATAGCTTACGACTTATATATAACATTGGGTGGTCCCTTCCTCTCACTTCTTGTGCTAATACTGCCCCCAGTCCCACTGCCCCCAGTCCCACCTCTGAGGCATCTGTCTGAAGTATAAATGGTTACGAAAAATCAAGTTGTATCAACACTGGGACTTTCACCAGCCACTCTTTCAATGCCCGAAAGGCACGCCTGCTCTGTTCGGCCCATCGCACTTTTTGGGGTTGCCCATTTCGTGTCAGGTCTGTCAAGGGGGCTGCTAATGTCGCAGAGTCAGCCACAAATCGCTGGTAATACCCCACCAACCCTAGGAATTGCCGCACTTGCCTCTTTGTCACTGGGAGTGGGTAGTCCTGTAGGGCGCTTACTTTATCGACCAGTGGTTTTAGCTGTCCCCTTCCCACGTTGTACCCGAGATAAAATACCTCTTAATGTCCGAAACTTCATTTCTTTGGATTGGCGCTCTGAGCGCTCTAGAGGCCCAACCAGGTCTAGTGCAATTTGTTCAAAAGGTATGTCCACCATGGGGAGAGGTACTAACGGGGCTTTGGGCACCTTCGCTGGGGAGGTCTGCTGGCACTCAGGGCAGGATTCACAGAAGTCCTGTATCTCTCTATAGCGGCCGAGCCAAAAGAACCTCTGTAGGACCCTTTGTTGGGTTTTCTCCCATCCTAGGTGCCCTGCCCTCAGATTAGCGTGGACTAACTCCATAACCCGCCATCTATATCTCGTGGGCACCAACAGTGGTCTGCTCTCCCCTTG